GTAGAATCAAAAAAAAGTTGTTGCAATTGGTTAGACCGTAGTAAATGTGAACTTCGACAAAGATTTTTAAATCTTGAATTTGAGATATGAATTTATTGTCGTTATAATTTATATAATTACGAAAACTAAAATATATTTAATTAAAATATTAATTTAAAAAAAATATATTTTGAAATATCACTTAAATGTTATTAAAATGCTTATAATAAGCATCTCGGTTCCTAAAACGTAGTCGCTTAAGTCGGCGAAAGGTATATCCGTTTTGCAGAGGCCATTCGATCATTCGAGTAATTTGTAACCAGTATTTAATATATCAACTAAAAAGCTACAATATGGGTGTGTTAAACGTAGTTTCATAACTTCGACCTACGTTGAGCATTGCGTATCAATTATTACACATTTAATGGCTTAATTAAAAATAATGAACATGTATTCCGAAGAATACTTAATTACCTATACATGTAACCTAGAAAAGCATTCTAGGCCAAAAATTACCAATTAAGAAAGCAAGTCCTGTTTCTATGTGTAAAGACTACGAGTAATTGATTATACGACTCGTAATTAGAATAGTGAAACCGTAACTGATTTCACTAAGTCACAGGGTCATCAGTGGGAAGACATATTTGTGTCTCTTCAATAAATTATATTAATATAATTATAAAAATTAATAAATTATATTTTTACCTAGTTTTTTAAAAGTTTTTTAACTAGTAACTCTCCCGACAGACAAGAATACTGAATAAGATACAGAATAAATCAAGCGCTTTGATACAATTGATAATTGCCGACTCAATTTTAGGTATTATAAAATAAATATCGCTTAAGTACATGTATTAAATATAATTGTACAACGGAGCCTTCACTTGGTATTTCATAAACGAATTCGCTCTGCTTTACATCGTGATGTACGTGATCGGATGCTGTAATATTTAGCTTAATATGAGGCAATGCTTCAATAGCCTTATACAATGTTAATACTATATCAACTTATTAGATGTTGTAACGACTCGTTTAAGATATGTATTGAAGTAGGGCGGGATTCATAATATGGGGGTATTGTAGAGATTTGAGTAACGCCATGCAGTTCTCTGAAAGAGTCAGAAACGTCTTGAGTTCTCCTTATTCAAAATTGAAACTGTTTGAATCTAAGTCTGAAATGTTTAATTTTTTTAAAGAATTTTAATATAATATATAAAACCTTAACCTTATATCTTTACATTTAGGGTTAACGGGTTGCTTTATTTTACATAAAATTATTTACATGAAAGTCTTGATCGACACGTCGTCTTAAAGGTCAAGCCAAGAAGCTACAGTTATTATTTTACGTGTTTAGAAAATTGTAGGTACTATCCCCATTTAATTGTTATACATCGCATTACCCCAATCTAAAGGGAATTCTCGACCAGTCCCTTCCCGGGCTGACCGACCTGACATAGAGATGTATTTTCATGTAGTACGGTGACATCAAGTATACCCACCCTGTAGGTGGGTATACATGATGTCACCGTACTAATAATACCCACAGATTGTAACTGTCGCTACAAATGTTAAACAAATGGCTCGTTAGCGGAGTAGTTTTACTTTATAAATGCTAGCACACTACTATGCTAGGGATACTAAAGTCCTAGTAGTACACAAGTGTTCATGATAAATTCTTTAAAACAATATCAATACCTAGGCAAGTATTTTATTGATGTTTATTAGTAAAATATTGCTCATAATTTTCACGTAATTTACTACCACACTCATGACTCAATAAAGGTCCTTAAAAGTGCTTTGGCTATTTTATAAGTCCAAAATATGAGAAAACCCGCTGCACCTTAATGACAAATAGACTACTTGCCTTGCGGCAATTCGAATATATTACATTTTCTAGTTTGACTACTTAGCAAAATAGTGATTTACAAGTTCCTAAGTTAAATATGTAAGATAAATGTTGTTTACTTTAGCCAAACCGTTGACATCTTAAATAATCACACCTATAGGTAATTAATGTTAATGTAAAACACGTAACCACATTTTTGAAAGAACTGCTTGAACGTATAGTATCTGAAGTCGTTTTGCTTGCTGCAATTTGTGCCTACTCACCTTGGCTTTGATAAAGTGAATAACGGCTAGTCTCAATAATATATCTCTTACTAAAAGTTAAAATATTGATCAGAGCGTCTCTAACCATAAAAAAGTTGAGTTTTGCTTTGATAGATTAGGTTGTACGACTATGTTGGCAAATAAACAATTTATTATTATTATTATTATTAACTCATTGGTAGAGATTAATGACAAAACCCGAAAAAAACTCTAAAACACATTAACACGCTAAATAGGTGCTTACTGGTATGCAATATATACCTAAAATGTATTTGAAATTGTTCTACAAAAGGTCTAATCGTCAAATTATTATTGAGCCCTTAGGACTTGCGTAAGGGTCTTGCTTAAGTTCTAAAGGTTTTAATTGATTATATTTCGCAATCGTGTGGTTCAGAACATTGTTAACTGACAACTTTTCTGGTGCTTACACGTAAGTAATATCTTGGAATATTAATTACAACCACAACTCTTGCTCAAAACGTAATCGAAATAGTTTTGACACGTCGACGAATAGCAAAGATTTTGTTATGAATGTAAAATTATTTTCAACATATAAAATCAAACTGCCATGTCACAACACTACCATGTCACAACACTACCATAACTACCATGCAATGATAAACCACTTGGGACCGCCCAAGGTCTCACCATTAGCGATAGGCAGACGGAATACAGAGTTAATTGGTAAGACTCCCTAAGCTGGATTAGAAGCACTTTTTGTAAGGTCCTAGGCAACTCCAAATTTCTGTGCAAATAGTATGAATTAGAAAAAACTATCATCATCACGACGCCGGGCGTTCTACTACAAAGTGCTTTTTAGATACTTTCTGCTGCGCACCATTATTTGTGGTACCTATCCGTAAAGATTTTTCCGAACTGAGACTCAGGAGTCTTCTTTTTTTCAGGTTCATAAGTGTACATTGTGTTACCTATATGAATAAATGATTTTTGACTTTTGACTTCAAAAAAGATACCAACCTTTACAGCTGGCTGGCCCGTAAGCACATTTACATTGCAGGTGTCTTAGGGCGGCGGTAAGCATTTATTTCTAAGTAACTGTGCAATCTTAATTATTTTCTTAAAAATGCTTCTTAACATTTTTCGTCACCTTTTCTACTAGTGTACCTACCAGTTGCAAAACAAAAACGTATTGAACACTACTAAGAGCAGACTCGTCAGTACTTTGGTATTTTCCATTCTTTCGTACGCATCAGTCCTCGACAATTCGTGCAGCGGACCGAAAAAAGATTGCATTCTAGACGCGGTGTTGGAGGAGAATGTTTCGAATACCATGGACTGCAAAAAAAACCAATTAATCCATTCTCAACCAACTAAATATCACCACAAGACTCAACTATCATTTACAGACGGATGCTTAGCTACTTTGGCCATATTGCCAGGAGAGAACCGGATAGTTCAGACAAACTGGTAATGGTGGGGCATTACCAGTGGAGTCGATGGAGTGTGTCGGGGTCGATCGCCTACGTTGGTCTGACCAAATTAAGACAATTATGGGTCCTAGCATCCCTAATGCCCTGAGACAATCGGTATAAATATGGGGATAAATCGGTGTGGAGGCAGCAAGTCAAGGTATCGGTTAGGGCTTTACAACAGGCTCAACATTTAGTAATGAAGACTACGAAGAAGACGTTCAATGGGGTCGTGAAAAGGTAACATGAACAATTCCTCGCTGGTCCCACCCAACAGTGGTAACTGTTATAGTCAATACAACATAAAACAAGTGTTTCAAAGTAAATACTTTTATTAAAATAATGATATTACATAAAAATAAACAATATAGGAACTAAATAACAATAATACTATCTAGGAATTTAAATATGTTCCGTTTCATTTATTTTACATCTACTCCAATTTTTGGACATAAAAAAATATCAGAAGAAAATCAACCTGGTAAGGTTCTAGATTGTTCCAATCACAATACGAGAATATAAGTGTGTGCTCCTATTTCACCATGCCTCCTGCTGATAGGGAACAAGTCTTTGTTTTTTTTTTAAATTTATGTTATTATTATTAATTACTTGATATGTCATGTGGAACATGGTGTAATGGTTGCAGCTCCTTACAAACGTTGTGTAAAAAAAAATGGCGATTAATTAGTTTATTGCCAGTTTTTCTCTTCCGTTCTACGCCCTTGATTTGAGAACTGGCAGTAAATGTTAAATTAGAAGCATTAATATATTCTTTACTGACGAGTCATAAGTGTACATTATGTTACCTATATGATTAAATGATTTTTAAAAGCTTAAGATGGCTAAGGAGTAAAATAATAATTTTCACAAAAATGTATATAAGAGAAACTTCATTATTGTATTAATATTTGAATCGCATTCTACGGTGAGTCTTGAAAAACAATTAAACGCCATACTAAAATATGTCTAGGTCAAATATTATAAAAAAAATATCTGGTATATCGCAAAGTATTGTTTGGGAAAAATAATCGAGAAACTTAGGTATTACGATTAAATCAATAGGATTTTTTATAAATAAAAGTTAATATTTAATACCTACAATGTGAAGGCTTTGTTTTCACAGCCAACTTGTTTTACTTACAATTAAACATAATAAATTACTCACGGAATATTTAAGTAGGGATGGAAGGGTAATGTAGGCAAGCGTGCTGCAATCATTAAACATCTTCATAAATTTTGCTTATGTGTGAAATGGTGAAAAGCCCTTCCAGCCATATTTATCAATTCCATATAAAAATTGCTAACAAACATTTTTTTTTAATTACACTTTAAACGTGGATAGATGGCCATTGGATACAAAATGGATGTTTGTCTAATCTTTAAAAAAATATATTATGTTCCACAGTTTAAAAATCGTATATAATATTTGTGTCACTAAAACTACATAAAAAACAAAACAAATTTAAATTTAGAACAATTTTGTCAAACATTACAAATAGCTTGATATGCCTCAATATAGCTTTCAGTGGATGTTAAAGTCAGCTGTCGGCTCGCCTTCAAGAATATAACGACTCCAGGGCGAATTAATATCGGTTCCGTGTCACAGGCTTCCCCTGACCCAGATATTATTATCATGATACTAGGGCTAGGTCGCACTATTGTGTTGTAGGAATCGCCGGGTGCCACCTGAAAATAAATATAACAATGGTTATGACCATTAGCACTTATCATTTAAAAAAAAACAACCTCTGTATAAGTAGTATTTTAACCATACCAATCATACCATCTACACTACACTTTACAAATCCTATGTTATATTTTGCTGGTATAGCCACATTAAAGCTTTCATGACGTCATCAATATCGGACATTCTTTCATACAAAACTTAAATCATTAGGGCAATGGTCAGCCTTATTGCTAAGAAACTGTTCTAGGCGTTTTATTAACAGATTTCAAATTAACAAAAAAACATTATTAAGGAACTAAATAAATAGTATGCTTACCCTGACTTTAACAACAGCAAAATCTGGAACAGGCGGTCTCCAAATACAACTGTTTGGGTCTTCTATTTGTGGATTGAACAACATTTCACTTGGGTGGTAACTGTTGTAGTCCAACATATCAACTAGTGTTGCCACATCAATGTGCTTTGGGGTGAGACCAGCTCGAACCACATTGTCTGAGCAAGCCATGCATTCTATGCAGTCTGAAAAAAGATATTAGAGGCTGATCAGAAATTTTTGCCACTTATAATCAGTATTAAAAACATACAAAATACACGTAGAATTTATTATCTCCTCCTTGGGTTTTTTTGAAGTAGGGATAAAAATTAAGTGTTTAATATGAGTTTCTTAAAATTAAGTCATACACTTTGCCAAATTCAAACGTATCATGATCACGTGCTTACAAACATTGTGCTATGTGAACACGCAAAGCGTGACTTAAGAATAGAGTGACATCAGAAATGAGAAAAATATAGCATCTCTAGTCAGATACTTGTTGACATGCATGACGCGTTAAGTCCATTAGTTCCTTTGACCAATCAGAATCAAACACATCGTCTTGCGTTTTACATTCTCAACAGGATACATATTACAAAACTTAAATAGAAATCAATAAAGTAATTTAACTTTAGTGAAAAATGTATTCACTTTTGTGTAATAGATAAAATTTAATTATATATATATATATATTTGGGAATTAATGAGTTTATATGCAGTGAAGAACATATTATATATGTGATATAATATTTATTTTGAGAATTGTCTATGTCTTGTATCACAAATCTTCATCTCATCTCAAAGCAAATTATCGCTCGCTCGGCTGCTCATATCTCAAAACACTCATATATTAGGGCACTCGTATATCAAGTTACCACTGTACTATGTAGCCAACAGCTTAAATAAACATTATAATTATAAATGTATAAAAAGAACATTGCCTCAAAAAGCATACCCAAGTCAAATATAATCGAAATATTGGTATATGTTGTGACTATACACTTAATATTTTACTATATACATCATATATAATATAGTATTCTTGTGGGTATAGTAAAGGTTGTAATCAGTTAAACCTTTATTTGTAAGAGTACCAAAAGCAATTTTGTACATACAATAAATTATAAAATACTTACCACCACTGAGATATGCATGGGGCAGGTTGGGTTTCAAAAATATTGCTTGGCCAGGAATCAGTTGCATATAGTTCATGAAATATGGAGCCCAACATCCTACATCTCCGGGATAATCTGAATGGAGCCGTTTTAGTAATGAATAAAGAAGTGATGACTGAGTTGATGATTCTGTAAATTTATTTAAAAGTTTTATGTTAATTATATTCTTTAGAAGTAACATATAGTGTAACGGAATAATAAAAAGAAATATTAAAGTAAATAAATTATTATTTTAATAAATAATGTGCTGAATGTTGTTTGCATATGAAAGAAATTATCAGTGTTGCAGACACAGATTTATGACTGTTTCTGGCGGTATATGGAACTTTATTGCAAAGCTTGAGCTAATGAGCATTAAATGATTAAAAATTGTTTGTCCTTCTATATAGCTTATCAATTACAATGGTAAATTCATTTACTTAGGGATTTATTAGGTTTCATTGGGCTTGATTTGCATATGGGAGACGACAATGCGATCACATCTACATATACATATTATGATAAATTAATATTTTTAATACAATTTTTTTTTTCATCACTATAAACAATATATTTGTTATGTATATCTTAAATCTACCAGTGAAAATATTATGTATTAAATTAAATATTAGAGATTATTAAGTTACAAAATATATTTTACAATGTGTGCTTACACATATATATACAATGTAATACAAATAATCTATAATGTAAATTACCAAGGTCATAGAAAATTAATAATTACTATAATATTTCCCTTTTTTGGGTTTAAAATCTTCCCTTTACTTTGTTGGGTTGTATTGTTATTAACAAATATGCTCTCGTACTTAAAATTTTCTTAGTTTGGTTTACAGAAAATTATGATTGCAATTTTACTTTGTCCAACTTACCTTCAGTTTGCAATCTATTCAGCAGAGACTCGAGACCATTAACAATTTTGTTCTTATCACATGACATTAAAGAATGGAAGGCATCTTTGAGCAACTTTGTACAGTCACCATCTCCACTGTTAAGTATTGGGTTCACAACATCTTGAGACAAAATTTGTTGTAGTTCTGGCAAATCTGTAATATGGTTCACACAATACATTTATATACCAAAATATCTTTGGTCACATGTAAAATGGGTTCAAAAGTTTAATAATGGCATGCCATCATTGATATATTGCAAATACATTCAGTAAGCTATTAGACCTAGGGCCATACAGAGCCATTAAATGTAATGGTAGATGAATAATTACAATTATATCTTTAAAATGCCAACTCAGCTACAATGTTTACTTCTTACTGAACAATGAATTTAAGGAAAAATAGGCCAGTGAAAGGCCTTTTTAGCTTCTTATTAAATCTATGGTGAAATAATATAAATCTTTACTAATTGGCTAATGGCTATTATTGGAGTTAGAGCTTAATGCATAATCTCTAAAATAGTTACACCTAATACATTTTCTATGTGTGGAGAGCATTTCTTCACATTAACTTACTAATAATAAAATCCTTGATCTCAGAAATAGGTCTGAAACCGCATAGACCCTCAAATGGTGTAAGTGCAATAGCTAGTTCCGGTTTGTGATTGGGATCTTTATACAAATCTGGAAAGGTTTTGTGCAGTTCCTCCGCATGTTCCTGAAATAATTGCATATAAAAACAGTTAAAATGTAATGTAGTATTTAAAGTATTTTGTACATATACATTCAGATTCAAAATATAAGCTTACTTTTGTAGGATGTGCTTGCACCGATAATGCTTTTCTTACTGATAGAACTTTAAGCAGAAAAGGCACCAAAACATCAAACTTCTTTCTTACATCTGGGCCAACAGCATCTAAATTGGTCTTTAAATACTCTGACAAAGGTATGTCTCTTTCTATAATAATTGATGGTCCATTTGGATGTGTACCCATCCATAACTCAGCATAGGGTTTAGCATTATCAATAGAAACTGAAGAATCAGCGCTAGCAACTAGCTTTGCTACTGTACTATCCTGTCCCAGCTTCCCCCATTCATAATTTTGTACTTTGCATTGTAGCTCCATTTTTACAAACTGAAGCGTATATTTTTTTTTAAATAGGGTATCAGAAAACCATTAAACACATAGAAGTACTTTCAGCAGCATGCAATTTGTAATATTATTCCTGGCGATTCGAATTGTAACAATTATTATACATACTTACAATAAATATTTCAATAAAGAGATGAATAAAATCTTGAGCTATTAATATAATAGTCACGCCATGTACCAACCACTGATATTTCTTGAGTGACCCTAATTGTTTAAATTGATTCTCTGTTATCTTGCGTTTTATCTCCAATGTATGTCTTTGCTATTTGAGTTTTAACTTAGTGACAATACGTTTAGCTATATTTTACAATGAAAATATCTTTGACTACTTACTTATTTAAATTTTGAGCCAAGTAGCGAACGGAGCGCTCGAATTAATTTTATTTTGTTGTCAAGTCTGTGGGCTGTCGAAGTATTTACATTGACTGCTAACTGTTAAGTCAAAATGACAGCAATATGTGTTTACGGCAAATATCTACTAAAAAAAATCTTTTAGAAATTTTACAATAAAATGTGCTTTGGATGTTAAGACTATTCTTATACTATTAATATTTGTAGATATGACTACGTGTTATACTGGTAATGGTTTTTTAGACAGGCCCTTATACCTACAACTCTAGAACCAAGAAACCATTGCTTCGACCGACACAACGGGGCTTACCCCCATATATTATAAACGTGCTGTGCATTATACTGTACAAAGACCAAAACTGTAACCTTGAAAGTACATTAGAAGAAAACCGATGAGATCAGTATTTACCGTGGTGTTCCATGGTGGTTGTATATTGTCTCCGTTGCTATTTAATGTAGGTATATTCCGAAGCAACTATATCAGGGGCCTTAGTCAAGATGCCTTAACAGTAGTGTATGTAGAAAGTCGAAAACTTAATTTGTATGGAAATGACAGTTCGTGTCGAAAAGTTTTCATACAAATTTAGTTTTTGACGTTCTACATACACTACTGTTAAGGCATCTTGACTAAGGCCCCTGAAGCCATTAAGGGTTCAGAGGTTGGAGTAAAAGTTAACGGAAATATCATCAACAACATTCGTTATGCAGACGACAATGTTTTAATAGCATCATCAATGGACGATCCCTAAATGTTTGTTTAAAGAGTTCATGAAATTAGTGAAAGAGACGGTCTGAAAATTAATGCAGTAGAGACGAAGGTGATAGTCATTTCTCGAAACGACATTTTAAGGCCTAATCTACCTGTAGTTGGAAAAACGTTAAAACAGATGCGATAATACAAGTACATATTTGGGAACTTAGGTTACGAACGAGTGGAATCCTTATCAGAAAATTAGGTATCGAATTGAAATTGCCCAAGGATCTTTCAACAAAATGAAAGTTTGGTGCTGTCGTCACTTGAATACCGAATACGAATGTTCCTTTTTTACATATAGCCAATTGTTCTGTACGGCTGTGAACCTTGGATAGTGAAAGAAGATACCCACCGGCGCTTAGAAGCATTTGAAATGTGGTGTTATCGTCACATGTTTCTATAGGCTGGATCCAGAAGGTCTAAGGTAAAAAATCCAAGGTAAGCGGCGTGTTGCTAGAAGGAAAAAGTCATGGCTTCGTAGCATTAGGGAGTGGACGGGTATTGTGACTGCGAAAGAGTTGCTGACAAGACACGCTTTACGAGACTAACGGCCAATCTCCAGTAGTGGAGAAACACCAAAAGAAGAAGCATTTGAATTTTGAATTAGCCATTGAATTTTGTAAGTAGTAGTTGTCGATAAACAAGAGTGTCATGTTTTGTTTCTTTTTGTACTTTTATGCACTGTACTGGTCGGTAGGATAATTAAAAAAATATTTAGTTTTCTCCATAGCGACTATGCATATAGATCTAATCACCTAAAAATTCATAACAAATTTAAAAAAAAAACTATTTTGTTTTATTCCCTAAGTAAGATCAAAGCCTTTACGTTTTAAATATTCATCAATATCTATCTTCAAGGTATCTAAAACTGACTCAGAGGTTTTTCCGCTTAAACTTTCCACTTCCTTTACGTTTTTAATAGAGAATTCGAAAGGTCCCGAGCTTTTATTGGGTATGGAGACTCCAGATAGCCCTCTGTTGAATATTTCAACGCTAATTGATTCGTCATTCGCTTCACAAGCGTTCGCCTCATTGAAAGAAGATATTTCGTGAACAGCTTCATTATGCCTAACGTGTTTATTCGTGGGGTTTAATTTCATTTCTAAATCCTTAAAGTCCAAGTATGGATACTTCTTCCTGATAACTAATTGTTCATATTGCTTACGATCTTCATCGTTTAAAAAGCATCTGGCTGAAATATTTTTACCGAACTCATGGGTTGTGTCTTTTATTTTTCGAATTGCACTTTCTAGGTTGGCCACCATTTTCTTGCTTCTTTCAATTATACTACCTTTGCATACGCGTATGTTACCACTTCCTGGAACGAGAAACTAGGTATGATTACTAAAATAAATATTTAGCTGAGCTGAGATTACACTTGTCTCTCTTATTTACAAGTCTAATCTCAGCGTAAGATTCAAAATTGTACTTAGCGCCAAGCCTCGCCTCTGAAGGTAAGATTCAGCGCAAACTACGACTCCCGTAGGTACCTATGTCAAAAACGTAGTGATTTTCGTACTCTTTTTACGTGTTGAATAACATGTAACAATATGCAACGTGGTAATAAATACGTAGCTAACTAGATTAATTAAAATCGTTATTTAATAGGATTGATAATTACCATTTTTGTTATTCTGATAAAAATATCTATTTAACGGAATGGTATGACTGAATGATAAATGAAAAAATAAAAGTACTATCATCCAAGTCACCGCAGATCCAAACATATTTTTATTCGTATCCCAATTTATAGATTTCGATTTAATATTGATAATTTTAAGTATGCCTCGATACAAATATGTAATTAGTCATACAATACTTGCCAATACTATATGTCAATACAAATTCATGTCAAATATTTTTTTACAGAAAAGTCATAATAGAACCAGACAGATTGTAAACTAAAAAAAAACTGACACTAACTAAAATTTAAAGACGTAACGTTAATTATAAGAGAAATGCTGAAGGTATATTAGAGTATTTGTGTATTTACATTTTATTGCAATAAGTAGATACTTTAATAACAGATGAGTACCCAATATTATTGCATATTTTGCATAAGTGCATATTTTGTTTAACCGATCAGGTATCCCACCCATTATCTAATTTTAATTATCACTAATCATTCTGATATTTCATATATACTTAAATCTTTAAAATTTTCAGGGTGTAAAATATGTTTATCCTTCTGAAAAATAAACTAATCTCACAACAAAGATGTATAAAAATCACGCCTAATGGGATGGAGCACGACGCTGAAAGGCCCTCTCATTGGTCGGTTTTCACCCTTTCCACGATCCCATTTCCGTAAGGGGTGCAGAGGGCGGAGTTAGGCTCCTAAGGGATGCGCACCTGACATACTTTAATGCACGTGCTCTCTGCGTCGGGATAACACGCATAATTACACGACACAATAATTCAAATAGTACGTCGAACACCGCGTATAAAAAATTGCAGTAATTCTATTTTAATAACAGTGTCCTCATGAAAATTTAAAATGGAAAAAGTACCCGAAAAGCACGATGTTCCAAAAGACACAATCATAAAAGCACCGAGACCGTCGTCACCGAGAAAATTTTTCGCGCGTATTTATGGTCATCTAGAGGATAATTCCACAGATAATGATCGAAATCGACCACAGAGAACTGAATCACATGAGAGTGAATCCTCCTCGGATTTGGAAATAGGGGAAGTGGATACTCAAAGACCGCAGTGGCCCCAAGCTCCCTTACCTTTGTGTCCTCGTCCTATACTGATGCCTCATCATCAGCTTGCCTTCGGTGCTGGTCTGGCTGCGTTCCGTAAGTACTTTGCCTATTTATTTAGTTTTTGAAAGTATGTAAGCTAATATAATTTCATAAAAAGTTTATAATAATATGTATTCTATTTAAAATACCAACTTTTTATGGGCTAATATAATTTTTAGTTGTGGTTTTAATGTCATACAATATTGAAAAAATTAACTTACATATTTAACTATTAAATCAGAATAAACGGTTACTTAAGCGCTTTAGTAAAGATTAAGTTATCCAATCGTAGTTTAGTCGACGTTCCTAGCTGCGTTACACTATTATGGTACTTATGTACATTAAGGTTCAGAAACGTATGCACGGAATGTATCAAAAACGTTTTGGTCTTTGATATATCGGAGCCACAGTTCATAGTTCATCATCATCATTATTTAATATTACTTTAGAGAAAATTTAATAGATGCGTGGTAAATTCAACTTAGTACACCTGTTTTTTACAAAGAAATATGATTTCACTAGGTAAACAAATAATACAATAACTATAATACTCGGAACAGAGTTTCGGAAATTAATAATTAAGATATATTGAATAGAGTTTAAATATGCATGTGTAGGGTCAAAGGCCGCTAATTAATCAAACGTAACGATCATTCTGCATGTTATTGTTTCGTCGGTAATTGAACTCGATCCCTCCAGGTCCTACGCCATGGGACATACACTACCTATGCGGTAATATTAAACTATGCTGATCTACATTTATATATGTTGGTTGTAATTAATACCTACGTTGGTCAGAACATAAAAATTTCTGTGTTAAGGTATTTTTATTAAATTTAAGTCCACTATTGATGTCCAAGTCCAAGCTATTTATCCTTTTTATCAAGAAATAATACATTTATACGACTATACCTATTTAATATATTTTACCATGGCTTAAATAATTAAAAAACCCTAGTGTTAAACGATAATTGAGTTAAAAAATACTAGGATGATATCATGGGTGGATTCAGTGGGGTTAATGAACTGCCAAATAAAAATGAAAATTTGAATCGATATTGACACAAAATATTTACAGATTATTAAAAAATCCTATTCTGTAATTTCATCCTTGTGCACCAATACGACATAGAGTCTTTCAAGAAATGAGCGTACCCATTCTTAAAAGGCTGGCAACGCACTCGCGAGCCCTTCTGGCAATAAGAATGGATGCGGTATCACTTTACAACTCATGAGCCTCCTGTCAAAAATTGTGTATGGTGATCTTAGGATAAGACTTAGGCTTCTAAACGATTATTTGATTAAAGTATACATGCAATAAAAAATAAATATCTAGGAGAATATGTATCCGCAAATTTCTCGTAAACTCAATCGAGATAGGCTTTTTGATTCAAATCAGGTATTACAACATAGGGAACAGTACCTACTAGTTTCATTAAAGATATATATATATATTTCCTTTTTTTTATGTGTTTCCAAGCATCGGTATTTTAAGACGGTAAATAATTTTGTGAATTTATTTTTTTATAAACCTTGAATTTTGTATTTCGTTTAAGCGAAATATTTTAAAAGAACGCCGTGACGATTTACATGATTCAAATAAATAGCTAGGGTTTTTATGTAGATACCTTTATTTTGTTATTATATTCATTAATAAAGCTTTAATAATAATAATAATAATTTTGAGCAGTGTTGGCCTGGTGGCTTCAGCGTGCGACTCTCATCCCTGAGGTAGTAGGTTCGATCCCCGGCTGTGTACCAATGGACTTTATTTCTATGTGCGCATTTAACATTCGCTCGAACGGTGAAGGAAAACATCGTGAGGAAACCGGCTTGCCTTAGACCCAAAAAAGTCGAGGGCGTGCGTCAGGCACAGAAGTCTCATCATCAAATTGCCTATTAGTATTAGATAAACAAATGATCATGAAACAGATACAGAAATCTGAGGCCCTGAACTAAGAAGGTTGTAACGCCATTGATTTTTAATAATAATTTTGATATTTAATTTCAAATATTTTATGAATATAGAGTTTGCTACATTTACTTTGTATTGAATCGTGATTCAACGTTAATAGCAAGTAGGTAGTACCTACTTATATTTATTTTTATTACTCTTTATTTGTATATAAAAAAGATATATACATATACACCGCACATATAAATCATTCAATTACACTATTTACAATAATGTTACTGTGGAGGAAGGGTTGTGAAAAGTTCCTTCAACTCAAATGGAAGATCTTCGACCAGACTAACTGGCTCTCCGGCCTGAAGGACCCAGTAGCTAAGGTCGAGTTGTTGCATATATATCTATCATTAGCGGCTGGAGTAACTTCTTTAGCCAGGATATGACGTCATCGCAGTGATTGTAGCCGTAGATTGTAGGAGTCACATTACACTTTTCGAAGGAAATATAAATACAGTTTCGGTAAGGCAAGTTGATCTTACCGTTACAAAGCGATATCTGGGTAACCCGAAATTGACATGATTTAAAAAAAAACAATATATTCGATGCCATCATTTCAATGTACTCTTGGCCTAATAATAAACCAGGTTCGGGTGTTTTCAATCAACCGACCGCACACACAAACACACACACACACACACACACACAAACGAACATCAAATTTATTTTTACGACTCCGTTTGCAATATTTTCTTTTAGCACTTACTTATTTTCTTCTATTGTATCTTATGACAATGATCTGATTATACGTGTGTTCCGGTCCGGTTGTGGAGAGGCTGGCTATCTGTCACTCAGGTCTCCTGTTACAGAGACCAGTCTTTCACATACACTTCCAAATGTTATCATCTTAGTTTAATCATAATAACCTTGTATGTATATGTGAGAGAAGAAATAAAGATTATTTATTTATTTAACACTTTATTTACACAATAATCAAGCACTATAATAAAAACTAGCCTAAAAATAAACGGTGATACTTCTACTAATTCTCTAAACCTACTAATTCAGATACATATGTGTTATCGCAATTTACACTATCCTACTTATTATGTTAATAAAATTAAAAAAATATATATTTTGGATAGGAGGGACCACTTAAGAAAACAAATAACACATTCGTTTTGCACAACTTTTTTATTGTAATTTTTCTTATTAAATCAATACAATATACAAAATATATCTCACCGTGTTACGTACATATAGTACATATAACTACTCTTTGAGAACTTTCTCCTCTTCTCTTTTCGCTTTTTATAAATTCTATTACTAATCAACTTTCTTCCAACTCTCATCTTTATGCTGATGACCTTCAAATTTACAACCAGTCTACTTTCAATGCCGTCAATGTTCAAGTTTGCCGTCTGCTATTCAGACGGCAAACTTAGACTTAAACAAGGTCCTCAATGGAGTAAATCGTATGGTCTTAAGATAAACCCTTATAAGAGCCAGTCCATTATCATCGGGAGTGCATCATATATAATGAGAATAAATTGGTCAACTTTACCCCAGATTACTATAGATGGTACTGTTGTTCCGTTTTGCTCCACTGTTAGGAACCTGGGCATTACTTTGGATACAACCCTGTCTTGGCAGCCCCAAATGATTGAACTAAGCAGGAGGATTTTTTCTTCTTCTCACGCACTTAATAGGTTACGCAATTTTTTGCCTATCTCAACTAAAATTTCTCTTGCTCATTCTCTTTTACTTTCTATTCTTGATTACGCTGATGTGTGTTATCCTGATTTAACTGAGTTGCAGCTAGATAAGTTAGAGCGCTTACAAAATGTTTGCATCAGGTTCATATTTGGACTTCGTAAATTTGACCATATTTCGGAGTTCCGAAGAAAGCTTAATTGGCTACCCATTCGATTGCGGCGTAAGATGCACATTTTACAACATCTCTTTAATGTTCTTTTTAATCCTAAAACTCCTAGTTACTTAAAGCAAAATTTTATGTTTCTCTCTGGCGGTAGTTTTGACTTGCGTTCTCTAGACAACCTAATCCTTGAAACTCCTATTCATAAAACTGAATTCTATCACACCTACTTTACTGTGCAAAGTATTCTGCTATGGAATTCTCTTCCAATTGACATTAGACGAGCTCAGTCCTTAAATTTATTCAAAAAGCTTCTTTTTGATCATTTTCTTTCTGCCTCGTAATTAGCTGCCTCTGCTTATACATATTAATTATTGTGACTCTGTTAACCTTTTGATTGTATTTTAAATTTTTGTCTATACATACTTTTATTTATTATTATTGTTATTTTACCTTTAGACTTTACTTTATTTTGGTTATAGTAACGGGTTATTTTGAGTTTTTTTTTTGTTAATAATTTTTGCAATTCTTGTACTCTACGCTCTGTAGGTGTTTCTTTTTCATTGTTCCACATTAGGGTTGCCTGGAAGAAATCGCTTGTTAGCGATAAGGCCGCCCGTTGCCTTATAACTTTTGTAACATGTTTTTTTGTTTTTTTGTTATGTGTATATTGTGTATAAGCATAAATAAATAAATACATAACTAGCTTAATAAAACATTTCAAGGAAAAACTATTTATATTCTCCATTTCAAACGTTGAATAAAAATGAGATAAGGAACTCTTAAGAATTCTGGACGTCCGTTCCACAAAGACATAAAAGGCTCGAAAATAAAATATCACTAGAAAAATACTTTGAATAAATATAATGGACAAAACCTTCTTCATACTTAATCCCTTCTCACTCAACTCTTTGGTGGACGTTCTTTATGAATGTTTGAGGAAAATTTTATCCTATGTTATACTTTGATGACATTCAATTGGAGATTGTGATTACTTTTACGTAAAGAGTAACATAAATCATATACTTAACAATAAAATAAACGTAATAGAACGTATTTATTTTCTTTTTCTCTCTTGGTAAATTTATAAGTTATTAATTGTCTTTATTAATAATAAGTTGTCATTGAGGTTTTTGTATTATAAGGTTTGGAAAATTTGCACTTCTTTACCTTTCTTTGATTAGGAATCGATAGCTTAGTTGCTCCACGTTTTTTTAATGTTATACTTCTTTAGGCGCGTTATGAGAAATTGATGAGAGTGAAATTTTACGAGGCGCGCGCACCGTGACACAAAATTAACAGAA